TTAATAGATTGTTTAAACTGTCAACTTATATGATATTTTTCTAATCAAAGAGAAAAAGAACAGAAACATATAGAATAGACTTTTCCCTTAAGTCCTTGAGAATTTTTCGACATGAGTCTGTCTGAGTTCACTCAGAGTTTTCCATTATTAATTCCTAAAAGGAACTGAAAATATTTGAACTCTTGAAAATTATGCTTGTTACGAGCAGGTACTCCATTACCAGTACGAGTCACAATAAAGCCCGATCGTACGTATGATTTGGAGATTTGTACACCGACATCTATGTGGCTGCTGATGCATGCAGCAGGGATAAGGCGCGGAGCCACATGTCCACGTGAGTATCAGTGAACGGTGATTGTAATTATGCTTAGATTTCAAAATGTTGAATGAGTTAACTTTTATTACTTAATGAGTCTCAGCTAAGTACTTAATTATTAGATTTCTCAGCTAATTGATTAGTGAAGTAGAGTAAAAAACTGAAAGACAAACTAATTATTTTATTGACTTTATTAGATTTCTCAATTAATTGATTAATGAAGTAGAGTAAAAAACTGAAAGACAAACTAATTATTTTATTGACTTTCTCATCCAGTTTAGTAATTATTGTGTTTTTTAATTTGTATAAAAGGACTCATACAAGTTTATTGTGTGATGAAGTTAATTGTAGACTTTTAGGTGAGGAAATTTCCGGGATGATTACCGTAAAACATATTTATGAAATAGCCAAAATAAAGGCTGCTGATAAATGTTTACTTGGTGTTCCATTAAAAGTTAGTTATTTTTGCCTGAAAAATTAGCATTGTAGTACGATAGTTTCGTTATATTAATTTATTAACTCTATTAAGTAGTACTTATTATTCTTCTCATTGTTAAATATTTCGTTGTGTTATTATTAAAAAATTTTTTGTTTTAGTTAATTTGTGAACAACTTATCAAGACAGCCCATACAATTGGTCTTAAAGTTGTTCGTGGAAATCTTGACCCAATGGAATATCGTAAATTTCTGGAAGAACGAAAGGTAGTAGTTGACAGGGAACTGAAAAGGATGGAAGAAGAGAAGGCCGCTAAGGTGCTCAGGACGACACCCACTCAGTAGCTGTGCCTTATGATTTAGTCTCATTGCACTATTAATGTGAAAAATTAAGTTCCTTAATTTCAAGTGTGGAACTGCATTCGATAGTCATAGGAGAAATAAATTTAAGGAATTATTTTATTGAGATTGCCTTCAGTTTTCCGATTGGAATTCCAAACCGAACTCACTGGAATGTATGGCTACGGTGCATTGTGAATCCCATAGCTGTGAACAATTGCTCCAGGATATGTCGAAATATAATCCTTTTCTATAATATATAAACATTTAATGAGAATTAGCTTTTATGTGGTCACTTTTCGTCAAGAATTTGCATGCTTTTAGTCATTGTTCCCAATACCATGTTTATAGGCGATTTGAAACGTTTTCGTTATTTTCCATCAATAAGCTCATCTTTTAAAGCGTTTTTTAGACGATAGAAAGTTGCATTATTGCTTATTTATATTTATTTTGATATATTTTAATATATATTATGGAGTTTTTCAATTTTTCGCATTAACTTATGTTTATCTTATATTTGAAATCACGAATTATTAATATAGTGCTTCGAGGTAGCATAATTTTACAATGAATATGACCTAAAAGCTAGAATACTCGGAGTGCATCTAACGAAACATACTCTTGAATTCACTGGTTTTAGAATGTTCGGCCACGAGCTTACTTCATAGTTCTATTCTGAATGTGTCCATTCTCTCCATACTGTTGAAGTTTGGACCATGAAAGAAATTTACCTCTGTAATTTAGAAATTCAGCTCCGTAAAACATGGAAATCCTTAAAAGTGTCCATGTTATTAAAAATTAAAGAAGGACTGTTTTCTAAGAGCACATGGTGAACAGAGATTTGTGAATAGTTTATACCAGATGTACAGAAGTATTCTCTTACAGTTGTTAGAGCAAACAGTAGTTAGGCAAACATCTTTTAAATTTTAGGGTCTATAGAGGTGTATCATTGTTTATTTTCTATAACTTGTGATATGTAATTATTGAGAGCTAATGTTTTGTAATTTACATTTTATATCTCCCACAGACTGACTCGCCATTCAGTAGACGATACAATAGTTGACAATAAATGTCCATGCTATGGGAGAAGAGAAAAGTAGTGTTCTGTAACATTATTTATTTCGATTTAATAAGGAAAGTATGAAAACTTGACGGTCGTGAGAAGTTGGTTTTTTTGTCCTCCAGTATAGTGTGGTGATCTCTTACATCCCAGCATAGTGACTGATCGCATTCTTACAAGTAAGGACAGCAGAATGATTATTAACAAGCGATCATTTGCTACATGATCTATTTGATGTGATTATCATTAACCATGCTTTCACAGCATGGAAATTCTTCTTTGTGTGCTAGTTTTGCTACACAGCTTTACATCAGAGTGCATCTTGGGTGGATGAGCTAAGGATCAGAAGTACTGAATGGACGGAATGATTAACCTAATACTCACGAAAGAGAAAGGATAGTAAGAGTACGACCTGCTGTTGAGAGGAAGTGAGGTATTTCGTTCCTGACCAGTGTACTGAACAGTTATTCCTTCCCAACCATACTGCCTGCGTCACCGGCACCGCTTCATTTACAGTTGCAAGTGGTGGAAGTTTCTGGAACGGACTACTACGACGCTGCGGGGACGCCCATCGCATCACATCCACAGGCATACATGTATTGAGCGTGCTGCTGACAGAGTAGCAGAGTTGTACATGCAACTGTGTTGGTATGCTGGGGTCATCGTTCGGTTAGTGTTTCAAATCGGTATTCTTCCTGTTCCAGTAGGAGAAAGTCTTCTTCGGGATCCGGGTAATTGTTAGCTCATCTGTATGAAAACGTTAATTTGTTAATGTTGCTATTTCTTGCTGTCAACTTCCAAGTATTTGCGCTGTTTTAAGTAAAGCATAAAAGGTTTCTTGACAATCGCTAATGTTCTTTTCCAGATAATATGGTGACATGGAGGACCATGCCGCCTGGTCAGTGAAAAGAACTAGAAGCATAACCGGTTACGAAGCCAAATTTTGTTTGTTTTTCCCTCTTCGAAGCGCCGATTTCATTTCCAATTATTTAGATAAATTTAAGTTGGATAAAGTGTGTTCATTGTAAGTTGAGGATATCAGCATTTGAGATTAAGCGAGAAAATCCTGAGTTGAGGCTTGCGGAGTTTTTTTTTTTTTTCAGAAAGGATGTATGCTAGAATGAAAGATATCACTTGTAGGTCTTATCCTTTTGTTTTCTTTGTAATATATACCATTTGATGATTGAAATGGTTTAGGAAATAAACTTTTGAAGCATGTTAATAGATTCTTGATGCATCAAATAAAATAGCATGTGATTAGTTTGAAGCCATGAACATCTTTGTCGTTTAAAGAAGTGAGCAGAAAAAAAAAGATTCAAAAGAACTATGGTGAGATTTTAAACATGATGTTAGCTCTTAGTATTTAAAAGCACAGCTTTTGAAAATGGTCTTAATCTAAATGTTCAATTTAGTTGTAATTACATCATCACTTATTCATTAGTAACCTTTCTGAACGGTTGATAGACAAGTGGTAAATTATAATAACTAATTCGAAATAAAACTAATTTCCAAGGACGTGGAAGGAGATATGCATAACTGGAAATGAAAAAATAGTACATTTCTTAATTTCTACTCTAACATTTAAGGAATGTAGTATTTTTTACTTGTGATAGTAGTGTCCAAAAAATACTCGCTGCAGTATATAAAAAACACACTCTGTATTATCTCAAAGGCAGATGGAAATAATATGAAAGTATATGTTATTTGCAATCATCCAGCACCGTTATTAGAAATGGATATAGTGTAGAGTCTATGCAGAAGTAATAATTACGGCGTAATGGTTGTCGGATATCAGTGGGAAGCAAAGTATTGTTTTCTTTTTCCTTCCCCGATAGCTTTTACTTTTTTCAGGATGGTGAAGATACACATTCGAGATTATTCTATAGTGATCACTGCTGAGTGTGTTAGTTGGTTTCTAGAAACAGCAGAGCAAGGACAGTAATTCATCACTTTTTTAAAAGTTATTCCGCGAATTAGGTCGTCGTGAATTTCGTGAAAAATTATTTCTCGAAATTAAGTACCATGAATTTTCCCTCTCTTCCCTTCCGGATTTTTCTTGTGCTTTGTAATGAGTCAAGGTAACGATAGAAAAAGACATAACCCATAGTTGAGACAATGGATACCGGTGCAGATTTGAGTTGCATCTCGGAAGATGGTGGCTATGTGAACAGCATTCAGGAAGTAGAAGAGAAAGAAATAAATAACTGCAGAAATGTTTCGAGCTCAAATTAGAGATTTTATTTAAAAAGGAAATTATATTACTCGTTAAGAATGCAGAGGAGAAGATTGCTTCATGAAAATGTTCGGTGAGGCTTCAGTTAGGAGAAACTTGGGCATCAGAGTCTACAATACAATAAGATCTCAAAGAACAAATATTGTTAACTGTAAGGCTTAACACAACCTAGCTTCTGCATGAGTTCCCCTTATCTTCATCTTCATAATTTTGTCGATGACAGCAACAAAAATGGTCGAGTAAATCATATAGATATTATTATCTAATGACGGGACTGGAAGATCTAGTCATTGGATGAATGAGTTCAACGAATGGACTCAATATGTGGATAGAAGAAACAGGTGGGATTAGCATTAATTAGGCTTGCATAAATGTTGCTGTAGAACGATGCAAAGCCATGAATTAGCAGTTTTCGGATGATAATATATCTAAGTTTGAAAGGAATAGCTAACGCATTCCGTGTTCTAATTATCTGGCTTGCTTTCTCTCAATATATTACGAAACATTTGCTGTTCACTACTAGAAGAATCAATGGCGAGGACAAGTAGATACAGATTTTTGAACTTCAAAGGTATTTTAAACTAGCGATTGAATGTTTGATATTTAGATTATTTGAGATGCAATCTGCTGACCCATTCAATTTTTCAAGTTTTATCTTATTCATGACGACTGCGCATAAGCAATGGTATAGTTATATTACAGTGCCGTAGGAGTAATATAAGAGTTACAGTAAAGTAAATTCCTTCTCTCCTAAGTTCTTGTTGTTTTTATTTTCATCTGTGCTGCCATAATTGTGACAACAGGGTTTATAGATCATAATTTTTTCAAGAATGGCTTTCAATATTAATCCAGAAATATTGATCATTTTTGATTTTACAAGCAATTGGCGTTCGATTCTTACATGTAACTAAGCGGCTAGATAGGTTTAATTAGCGGATTAATTAAGTTAAGGATTTAGAGCTAACATTATTTCATTACTTACTGAATGACGCTGGTTCTATGACATTTTTCATATCTAGTATCGAAGTGTTCAAAAAAATTCTTGCTATTACAGTTGCGCAGAATTGCGAAAAACACTGAAAAAAGGTCGTGATATGGTTCTTTCTAATTCAACGAAAAGCAGCCAGGCTGCATTTTCAGAAAGAACATTAGAGCTAGAATCTGGATTGAAAATCAATTATGTGGCACCAGTACATGCAGTTCCGTCAAAGGAAAATTCATCGACTGAGAATAGTACGGGCTTAGTTCCACGTAAAAGAAGCTTTATAGAAGGTGAAATTTATCTATTTGATTAGGCGTTGTGACTAATAAGAGACTTTTCGAACATTTGAATTGCTTTCCCACAGAAGTTCCATGTTATCCCTTTGTTGTCATGAAGGTCTTTCTCACACTTTTAGAATTAACTATTCTAAAAGCTCATTTATGCTTATGCTTTTAGAATAGTTAATAAGATCTTTATATTTGTCGTCATTTTAAAATTCACTAGTATGAATAATGCTAGCTTTTGAAAATTTAGGAAGTAGGACTACCCATACACACCAAATCTTCATATTTTCCATACGTTGTCATATTTGTTAAGTTGGTACTCAGAGGTAAAATTCAATAATAGAAGTTCCGAAAATTAAAACCGTCGCTCACTGATATTTGAAAGTTCTATTGTCTCTTTTAATTTCCGTGAAATATTTTAAAACTTTGAAAAGTATGGAGACATAGTAGATTTTTAAAATCATATCATGAAATGCAGTTTTAATGATTGCATAAAAATGAAATTAATTTTAAAATATCATCTCTCTTTTTGAAAAATGGCTTATGAGTTGTGGACTTTTATCTGTAGGAAGTGATCCATGGGAATATTGGGAAGGCGTTTTTGAAATGTGTTACGCGCTGGATCATGCAATACAGTTTGAAACGGATGACTTAGTGAAAGGATGCCAAGTTCTGGAGGTAAACGTCTAGCTCACTCAATTCATCAAGATTCTAGTCATGAAGTGAAACTCTGAAATTTATATTTCTTTCACACATTGTATTGCAGATCGGTTTTTGTACTGCTCTCCCATCAGTCTTTGCTATAAAAAACGGAGCAAAACATATCACTTTGCATAGTAATGTAAGTTTCCCTCTGATTTTTTGGAAGCAAAATTCTTTTTTTTTTTTTTTTTTTTTTTGCTTGAAGAGATATTCAAACATGAGAAAGTAGAAATAAGTTAAGTTTATGGGTAAGTGACAGTTCGAAAAGCTTTTGAATATAGAACACCGAAATGATGGAATCGTGTGTCAAATCGACGCTTTCTCGGAACAAAATTAAAAATGTGCAACACAGACTCCTTTACAGTTCCTTGGAAGACCTTCGAAAATTGGTGGGACGAAATGAGTAGGTTTTAATGTTTCTAATTATTATTCTGATTTACAAATATTCGTATCGTACTACACTGCACAGGAAAATATTATTGGTATATATACATTGTAAAGTTTGCAGGAGCTGATATTTTTAGAAAATCTCTGATTTTTCTGGGCCATTAACTGTAGTGAACTGAAGTAACAGAAGTTGAAATGAACATTTATTTCATTTTTTCAGATTTGAGGTTATCTTTGTTGTGGAATTTTTTAATAGCCAGAAAAATCAGTTTGAAGAAATTCATGATTTCATCGACTATGCACTAGCCAATAATGGCATTTGGTAAATTTTAGTTGTTCAAAAAACAAGTAGTTATCCTAGAAAATTTGACAGTCATCTTGGGCTGGAAGAAAGAGAAATGAAGAAAACTTCCCCTGAGGTTTCATCTTTGTTATTCAAAATTAAGTAATGAATTTTTTTTTAATTTTCTAGTTGTTTAAATTCATGCTTTAAGTCTAAGTTACAATTAGTTCAATAATTCTTCAGTTTGTTCGAATCTCGAATGTTTTATATCAACTGCGAAAGTAGTTTGCATGAATTTTTGGATCTGGTTAAGATGAAAGGGAAATTTGATATTTATACTCGTTGGTCGACACCAAAATCAGAAATTACTCAACGAAAAGTAATCCAACTGACTCGAGCTATAAGATGAGTTTCTCTATTGTATTACCAAAAAATTTTCTTTTATAGCAAACCTATTTATGCATAGTATTTTAATTCAGGTTGTAATGTTTCGGTTTCGTTATTCTTGTATATTTGTTTCGAATTTCGAAATAATTATTCCCTGAGAAGCTGTATGTTTTAGATTACATTTTCGCCCGACCCGAAAATAGACAGATTTCAAATAATAGATTTTCCTCAGTTTTAAGCAGTCCAAATAAGTCTCCATTCAATACAGCTTCTTTATTTCTTCTATTTTCTTTCATATCTCGTGCAAAAATGGATTTTTTCCCACAAGGAGAAATATCTTCAAATCTTTTATTTAGTCAAATTATATATATATATTGCTTTCAGAACTAGTAATAAACATTTTCTTACTAAACTATGAATCCCATAAAAACCTCTCAAACTTAATTCTTTGGCTGTGAAGCTGCTATTCAAACTCCCCTTTTGTATTTTCTGCCTTCTACTAAAAACCTCAGTGAGCAAAATGTAAAACGCACCTAATCCTAATTCACAACATTGTAGATGCATACAATGAAATAAAACAATTTTCCGACTTCTGGACGATAATATGAAGCTTTTTAGATAAGTGTTATTTGAAAAAATATTAGGTCAAGGAAAGTCTTGCATTGAATTTTTTTTAATGAAGTGTTTGAAGTTTTGCAAAATTGTACATCGAGAACGTACGCAAAAATTCAATTTTTGAAATAGGAGAATCAGAGCCCTACAAAGGAAATTTTAAGGATTAAAGTTAGATCTAAAATGCAGAAATTTTCAAAAGAATTTGAGTTTGGAAGAAGACTACAGATCCATGTTTGGAAGTACTTATAGGGCTGAGGAGCAACAGCTTGGGTGCATGCATTGTTAGCATAAAGGTTGCTGATAAAAGCACATTGCAGTCAGTACTGCGAATTGCTTTATCATTTACCGTAATTTTATCATTTAGTCCTAAGGAGACGGCAGTGCTATCCAAAAATAAGCAATAGCTTTCAAAAATTTCGCACGATAGAAAAAGAGACAGGGTGTGGCGGAAATTTAAATCTTAATAGTCAACGGAATTAATCGTCAATGGAAACAACTGTATATGATTCATAGTAGGATACCAATCACCATCTGACCTTGACTCCTACATATTCTGGGCTCCGAGATATAAATGGTGCAACTCCGGCTTCTCAACGAAGGATAATATATCTCCTTAAATAATAGTTTCTCAAATTTGTCTTCTATCTCTTGCTCTTCTTGCGCTTGTTCCTATATTTAATGAAGGGAATTCTTTTATTTTCAAGCAGTAGATAGCAAAGCTGAAACTAATATTGTTATAGCTATTCATGGATAGAGAAAAGTTTAAAATTTCTAAAACATTTCTATAAGTACCTATTTATAAAACATTGCGAAAGGTTCGGATCTCTATAAGATAGTACGAGTAATCCTTGCTCCGAATTTCATTTCGGTCACCATAGCACTAGCAGACAATTCTTACAAGCAGGAAAGGAATAAGATAAGTTAGATGGAATAAGTTAGAACAATTTGAAATAAGGAATACAGGAAGCGTGAAACATGGGTAAGCAGGATACCACACTTTAGTAAAATAACTTGGATACAAAAAGACGATGGATTCTGGAAAGAAGTCCAAACAACCATTTATAAAAAAAGTAAGAGATGGATTTGGAGCATCCTATATCCCATCTGATTTTTGAAAATGAAATGTGTTTTTTGATGAATTTTAGTAGCAAATAAAATTACTCTAGATGAGAAACAAATCAGATGGAATTCGAAAATTTGCACGCTTTTTGTTTGCAAAAGAAATATTTGCTCATTACTAACAAATTTAAATTAGAATGTTAACCCAGAAGCGGTGGCCCGATATAGACCATAGACACTTCAGTATTACCATAGACAGCACACATGGCTGGAAATAGTTTCAATGGGGGCAAATGACTAAAAGCAATACCTAGAAATTCACTGCCTTTTTCAAAATACATAGAATGTTGCTCACAATCCACTATCATTCGAATTCTTTCTCCCATCTGAAATAAATCAAAATGCAATTCTTACAGCGGCGATCCCAATATTACTTATTTCGAAACGAACAACCTCCGACAGATACCAAGTTCTCAAATAGAAGTACTGAACCTTTAGACAATACTTAGGTTAATATGTAATCTCACCTTATTTCAAAGATAAAATCTGAAGAGATAAAGAAATTGCAGAAGACTAAAATCTATGTTTTACTTTTTAGAAAAATGTCATTCATGATAAGTTTCAGATTTTGATGAGAATTTCTAGAACGTCGATTACAAGTTATTATACAACATTGACCTGGTATTTTGGAGGATTATTGATATGCGGATAAGGAGAGATCGGCTTACTGTTATGCAACAATTGATTGTCTACGAGATTCCAGCCCCAGCTTTGATCATCACTTCCCAGTAGAGCCACATAACCCTGACAATGTAGCGCTGCATGTCTGGAAAAAACTATTTCTATGCAGAATTTCCTTAATGCATTACTTTCATAGCTTGATATTTATTGATAAATTATATAGATTTTTTCCAATCATATCTATGGGTACTTTTTTCGAAAATTAGTTCACAAAATAAAATCAAACTTACTTCGTCGCTAAACCTATACAGGCCACGGTTCCCAATGGCCCCTCCCACGTGAACTCCCATGCATGCATCCCACTGTTCACACCTATTTTGCCTGAAATCTCATAAACAATACACTTATATTCGCCATACAACAAATCTTTCAATAAATTCACTGCACTGAGTGTCACTTTTATACATATCTAGTGGAATCAAGATCTTGGCACCTCGCACACTATCGGTACTCTGAGCAACTGGATTCCGATGCACCGTAAAACCATTGGGACGTAAATAATTATTTCTAAAACACTGGAACAAATTATTTTTTTTTTGCAGAAATAATAAGATTTAGTAATATAAGCAGTCTTGATTACATTATTCACAAACAATTATAATTTACAAATACAGTTACTGTACTTGTCTCTACACTTCGAAATAAGCATTGCTCCTTTACAATGTACAGCAAAGAAGAAATATAAAATTTAACAAATGCAAAACCACTTTGAAGAATCATTCGGATTCCATGCATAGCAGAATGCTCGTAACTTGTCCTTGAAAGAAGGAATTTCTGATAGGAGAGAGGAATCATTAAGAGCCTCATCTGGGATAACTGTACGTGCCAGGCGCCTCCAAACAAAGCTATCCTATAAAATTTACAGTACTAAATAAACAATGAAATAACTAGACAGAAAAGTGATGGTAAATGAGCCTTACAAAATAATCTATTTAGGCTAACCGGATATTGTAAAACAATCAACCAGTGCTTGCAAACTCGCATACACCGGGCCAAATCTTTAAGATTTAAATATTCAAACACTGCTAAAAGCACAACATGAGGTAAACGAGCAGCTGAGACAGCACGCATTCGACGAGTAAAACAAGTGAAACTTTTAGAGTGACAGCAACCTTGCGCATTTCGACACGCAACATCAACTGAAATGAAGTGATTTAATAAAATCGGAATCCCATTTCAAATGAAAATATGGAGCGACACACACAACTTTTGCATGTTCAGTATTAAAACGCTTAAAATATTACCGGCTTGCTCTAAATCAGTCTCCACCACTGTCTGATTAAACTTATCTCCTTCAGTGAACATTCAAATAACTGTAAATTGAATCATTGTAATTCCATGCAAATGAAACCCATCTTCGAACATATCACTAACACCGATCCATCTGTAGCCAAACTTCCCTGGCTTTTTTATAAATGACTAGCAAAACCATATTTGTAAAAAAGCACACACAAACAGTGGAAGTGGATTTAATAATGTTAAAGGTTTATCATGGCAGATTTAATAATGTTTCAAAGGTTTATTATGGCTCTTACATATCATTTATTTAAATAGAATATGTAAAACATCTGATGTTTTGTGATTGTAAATTAAGGTGTAAATTCCTCAGTCCAACGGTTTACGAAGCAATAATGAAACTTCACAAACAAAATACAAATAATTCGAAATCAGAAGAGGTATGACAATGAAACAGTGACAGCAAACACTACCAGCTGTTCTCGTGCATTAACGAGAAAATATAATGATAATGAAATCAATGTTCTATATTTATTACACACTTATATTTCATAGTAATACAAACTTCAAAAAAATGATGCAAAAAAACATACCAAAACTATTTAGTACGAAACCTTTCAGAAAGTGAAAGACTTGAAAAGTCCAAATCTAATTCCGAATTCATACTAATTTTTATTACGAAATCCAATTTCGAATTCATACTAATTTTTATGCACAGTTAAATTTACAGAACAAAGAGAAAACAAAATGCGCAAGTATCTAAACAACGAGATGCTTATCACATTACATAACAAAAGTGATGGCTTATAAAAGCAAGTATTAAAGGCAAACAAATTCAGATTAAAGACAAATAGAATGCGATAAATAGAATGCTGCTCTTTCATTTTCAAGCTATTATGAGTAACCAAGCAAAAAAATAGGAAAACAAGATAGTTATAACTGTTGACTTCTGAAAAAATGACGCAAGCAATGCCGGAAATTATTTCTTGACCTTGGCTGTTTTTGCTTTTGTTTTATCTCTTTTTGTAGTTTTGAAGTTTTCAGGTTCTGTGAAAACTATTGAAGGCATCGTCATCCTGGAAGAAAATGGAAATATGACAAGTAATACATCAATAAGAAAAAAATTAAATAATTCATAGCTAATAAAAATGCAATCACAAAAAAATATACATAATACTAGAAAAGCTATAAATAACAAATGAAAAAAACGATAGAAAACAGCAACCTAAATAACCGCCGAGCGAAAAATTCACCATCTTCATAAACGAATGGTGAATAAGGATCATCATTACAATTTGTTTCAGCTTCAAAATCCTTTTCATAAGAAAAAGTAGGGAAATGTGGATATTGCACTTTCTTTTCATCGTGATA